CCGTCATTTTCAGCAGGCCTCTGAGCAGATGACACCTGTCTCGACAATCTCCGCACCTGCATGCTGCAGGCTTGTCTCTTAGCCTTTTTTGTCGAATCTTGCTCTTCAGTACAGTGTAGAGAACGATTCAATGCAATTCAGGCGCCGCCGACGACGATGGTGGTGGTTTCCACCTTCAGGCAGGGGCTTTGCGTGGAAGACCCCGTTACACCCCAGACCTCAAACCCTAAACCTCTCATTCCACAGCTGGCCATCGCCTGGGCTGACACATCTCTGCCGCCACTGTGCGATGTCGATGACGGCTTCTGGACCTGTCAGTCTCCAATATGCGAAAATCCGATTGAAGGCCTCCGATTGCCCTTACCTTGTCTCCGAAAGTGCTCTGCATCCCATTGAATCCCCAAGGCTGAGAGAGTTCGGAGCATGCAGGTTGCGACTCAGCGTCGCCGCACATGGTCTCCCATCTCCACCTCACACCCATCCCACTTCCTCCATATGAATGGGCTCCTGGCTTGATGTTGCTCCTCTGTATTGGTAGGTGCCCTGGCCTTTAGGCCTCAGAGCCCCTGTCGAATGATCTTCCCAGGAACGCTCTGAGGCCATCCCTTCCTGGCCTCGCCTCGAGCAGCTTTACTTCTGAGCCTTTGACCTGTGCCAGTTGTAATACTTGAGATAGCAGCCAGGGCTGTCCGGTTGTCTCAATTTTCTGCTTCTCAGCGGGGTTGTGCTCTTGAGGGTCGAAGGCACATGCCTGGCCCCCGTCACATGCTATAAGCGTGTAGCAGCCAGGCTCCTGTGACGGTGCACTTGCGTGCAAGAAGATTCTGACACACAACACATGAAAAAGAACGCTGGCTGGAGACAAAGCAGCACAGGTATCTTTCCACCGGCTGCCGCAGACCTATCAGTCCATAGCCATCTAGCTCAAGAAAAGAGCAAGTTAAGCAGAACCTGGCTGAAAATCGCTGCGCCAAATTCCCATGGTAGTGCTCTGACATCGTTCTCAGGGTTGCGGCTGCGTCGCCTAAGCTCTTAGGCTGCTGCATCAGTCTGAACCGTCGGCTTCTTTCTCTTCCGTTTGGCCTGCTGCAGCAACACCGACCGAGCGGGTCTTCTTTTCTTTGGCTTGTCCTGGCCTTGATCTTCACCTCCTTCGGAGATGCAGCCTGACACATGTCAGATCTTAGCAGAACCAGCTTCTGTGACACTTAGTCGGCATTCGCAGAAAAACTGCCAGAAAATTCCCACAGCCTACTGCATAAACCAGCCTCCCGTTCTACTGCTCTGGCGAGTCCCTCCAGATCCCTGGAGCCCGGACCTTCATCACGGCACCAGCCTGCACCAGCTCACCTGTGCAGTTTCTGGTGGTACGGACATCGCAATGCAGTCGGCGTCTTTGCTGATGGGACGGCAAGGGTGCAACTAACTTGGCCGGTCCGGGCGTGGGGAGCAGTGAAATTCTGACAGCACGTGTGCCTTCCGCCGTGCTGACGACGCTCGCCAACTGAGCAGAAAGACCGAAGCATCGGAAGTGGAGAAAAACTCAAAACCGAAATCTCCTGGCTTGCCTCGGCCTCTGGTCGGTTGTGACTCGAATCCGATGCATTCTCGCTCGATGGTCACCGTGGGAGCTTATGTCATGGGCCAGTTGTGGGAACCAGTTCGGTCAACCCTCACATAGGCAGGCTCACAAGTAGGCGATTAGCGGCTGACTAGCAACACCGTAACCAGAGTGGCCTCATCGGGCGTCTGACTGACAGCATCATCCTGTCAGGCATGTCGCGAAGAAAAGATACGACAAGAACCAATCTCGCAAAGAGAAAGCAAGTAAGACCGGATAACCCCACATGTGTATTTCATCTTTTCGCAAAGAGAATATAGGTGAATACGAGTGAGTGAGCGAGTGAGTGAGTGAGTGAGGGGGCGGGAGAGCCCCAACAGTAACCCCACACAAAGATGTAGGGAAAAACATCCATAAACAAATCAGCGAGACTTGCATGTGGCGACGAAGAGCTCCCCAATGGACGTTCTCACCACAGCCTCGCTGTCGGTGAGCAACGGCTTGCATGCCCTGGCCTCCCGCAAATTCCGGTTGAATTACGGATGGCTATGCTCCGTTTACACTCGCATTCAGCCAAGCTTACAAGTAAGCGACAACCACACGATGAGTCGTCAAAGCCCCCTCCACCGCCAATCTCCAATACCGAAACCGGCGTGGCCTCATCGGTAACATGCGAAAACATCCCCGCACAATTGACGAGGAATGCATATGGAAAACTCTCCGATGCATGCTGACAGCTGGCGAAGACAATCTGGGACTCACTCCACTACAGCCTCGCTGTCTGCGAGCAACGGCTTGCCTGCCGTGGCCTTCAAGCAAATTCCAGCTGGACAGCAGATGGCTATGCTCACATTGAGCCAAGCTAACAAGCAAGCGACAACCACACGTTGAGTCGTCAAAGCCCTTCCACCCACAAGTGGCCTGAGCGGGTGTCTGACTCATAGCATCATCCTGTCAGGCATGTCGTGGGGAAAGGATACGACAAGAACCAGTCTCGCAAGGAGAAAGCAAAAAAATCATAAACAAATCAGCGACGCTTGCATGTGGCGTAGAAAAGCTCCCCTATGGATGTTCTCAGCTGGCAATTTCAGTCTGTGACTCAGTCCACCACAGCCTCGCTGTCGGTGAGCAACGGCTTGCATGCCCTGGCCTCCCGCAAATTCCGGTTGGATTACGGATGGATATGCTCCGTTTACACTCGCATTCAGCCAAGCTTACAAGTAAGCGACAACCACACGATGAGTCGTCAAAGCCCTCTCCACCGCCAATCTCCAATCCCGAAACCGGCGTGGCCTCATCAGGCGTCTGACTAGCATCATCCTGTCAGGCATGTTGTGAGCAGAGGGTAAGAAACAATCTCCCAAGGAATGCAAACAAAGACCTAGCAAAATGAGGGAGCTCAGCATTTGGCTCGGCAAGGCTTTACGATGCGTGCTCGCATCTAGCGATGGCACTATGCGACTCAGGCTGCCACATCTTCGCTGTCAGTGAGGAATGGCAGCTTGCTTGCAGTGGCCTCAAGAGTCAGAGTGGCTAACAAGCAAGACTCACTATGTGCTCCTTTGACAGGTTCGAAAGGCTTCAAGAAAGAACACGTTGTAGGCCCTCTCAAGGCGCAACGTTGCCTTAGAAGATGAGCTCAGCAAGCTCAAAATCTCATAGCCTGTCAACGGAAAACTTTCAAACACCTGTGGTTTTTGTCTCCGAGGTTGATCCAGGAGGCATCGCCATTCTGGTCGCGGCTGTTTGCTTCCTTGAGCATGTCTTGCACCGACCGCATGAGGTCGTCGGCATCCGCCTGTTTCGAGCTGGCTCTCTCTTCACTTGTCTCCCTGTTCGCAGCATGCTTCGCTTGCCTTCTGAAGCATCGCGAACATCTGCACCGTCTTGGCGAAGTCATCGGCAAACAGCTGCCATCGAGAATCTGCCTTCACAGATACAGAAAAACCAGCTGGCTAGCTTGCACGCCGCCTAGGCACCGCTGCAATCGTACGTTCTCGGATAGGAACAGGCCGAAGCCCTCAACGAAAGCCAGCCGGCTGAGTCAACAAGACGTCGGATCGAAAGTCGTGCTGCATCTTTCAACTACGAGTAGGGGTTTGCGAAAACGCACCGTTTCAAAGGTGAACCGCCTGGCATGCAGGTTTAGGACCCATGGAACCTGCTTGTATATGTTCGCTTCAGTTTTTGTCTGTCTGATGTAAAGCAGTGCGCTGGCAAGCTGAGTTCTTCCAAGTTAGTCTTGCTTCAAGCCACGGTTCTTAGCAGCTCCTATCCCACCCATCACGCCGAAGAAAAAGCAGACACGAAGACTACTCGAAGCCTGTGCTGCGAGCTTCTTGATCTCCCTCTTCCAGAAGCTGCAGATCAGAGAGTTCGAGAGGTTATCGGGCAGTGCTCGGCAGGCGACAGCCAAGGCACACAGCACGCTCACATTGGGGATGTTCAGTCCATCGAAGTCTGAAAGCCAGAGCTGCACGAAGTCCTGGTAGGCCTTGCTCACCGCCTCTTTTTGAAATCCGACGGAAAGCCTCAGCAAGAGCGCTGAAGCCTTCGCCAGCTTTGTCAGCAGCCAGCCTCGTGGCTCCGCAACCAGCAAAGCATTGGGCAAATAGAGGACGTGCATAGTTACAGGACATGCATAGTTGGCTCTGGCTGCTTTAATATTATAGAAAGACCCACAACATGCCCTGAGCCCGGAAGGGGGTGAACAATAAAATCTGCCAGCGCCGAGTGCATCCTGGGGGCTGCGATGCGACAGGTAGCGAGGTACCTCCGTCCAGGTGTCAGGAGCATGTCTTGTGAAAACACGAGATCGGACCTTTCATGGCTAAAGCCAGGTCTAGGCAAGGATTCTTTTGAAGCAGGATTCTGTCTGAGAGCCGTCAACGACAAGCCCAAGCCCAAAACCCCAAATCCTAAGCCCCGAACCTAAACCCGAGCCCTAAACCGCAAACCCTTCGGAAGCACCTGGATCTGGCTCTTCCGCGTGATGATGTTGGGACTCTCGGCGGTTATGGACCAGTGGAATGCCAGGTATGACTCCGGCTGGAACAGAGGCAGCAAAAGGGCCACGACGCTCTGCTTCAGCTTGGTGAGGGGGCCTGCGCCTGAGTCCAATAACTAATGCAAGATCCCTTCAGATCGTGGGCAGCAGCACCATGCTAGGCAGAGAGTTGAGTAGACGCAGGTCGGGTACCTACACTCCTGATTCGGACTGGCGTATGCATGCGGATGAACTTCTGAAGTCGCCGAGGTTCCTGGTGAGGAATTCGGGCCAATCGCTGTTCGGGATCACATTGGTCCCCGGAACAAGTTGCTTCTGTGGGATAACGACAACTCATGATCAAGTGGTCTAAGCAGCTCGTTGCAAGGACAGCTGTCTGCGCACTTGTACAAGGTCGGACGGTTAGGACATTCGATGCTGAAGACGGCACTTCTACGGCACAGAAGCAGCCATGGCACCATCGAACTTGAGGAATCCGCTTCGGGAGGCCAGCGAATGACAAAGCACAATCTTCCGCTCCTGCCCAGTCTTACACGGAACCATTCCAGAAGGCAGCAGAGCGCTCGCTCTCATGACCAACCAGCAAGGGTCCATGCTGCACATCGGCGTGTGGATAAACGAGCCCCATCCCCACCCACCCACAACCCCCCCCTCAACCCCCCCCCCCCCAAACGTGCCCAATGAACCTGCCTTTGTGGTGCATCAGAATCCGTTTTGTTGGATTGATCGAGTTTGAAGGCGTTCTAGACCACACAAGGCGGATGAAGCGTTGAGGATCTCACCCCGTCCTCCCCCGTCTTGGGCTTGCCGCCCAGCTGGCCAGCAGCATTGCGCAGGGTCTGACCAATGATGTGAAGCACCGCATACACGATAACTGAGACCAGCATCACCAGCAACGAAACCTGGGCACTCGACAGCTCTCATTCGAGAGTGACACTGGGAAGCTCACCTATGCAGGGATGCTATTTTCAAATCCAGTGGCCGACCAAGCCCACATGCTCTCTGCAGGTGGAAAAAATATCAGCAGCACCGCCACAGTGGTGAAGAGCACGAAGCGCGCACCGAGCAGCAGGCACTCCAAGAAATCCAAAATTTCTGCTTGCGAGTTCGAATATGGCTTCAGCCAAGCCGTGACGGCCAGTTGTATGCCCGAGTTCAAAGCAAAGAGCAATAGTTTTGCCTTGTCGTCGGTGGTGACGGACGTGGACGCGATCAGCAACATGAGGCCGATGTCAAGCCGCTTGACGACCAACTCCCAATACCTTGGTGGTTCCGTCACCCTTGAGCTGTACATGAAAACGCTCCATACTGCAACTTTTACAAGGGAAGTGCTCGCAGCTCACAACATCTCATGCCTGTTGAAGAGCAAGGCGCCAGAACCTGGGCTCTAAGCCTTCAATGAAATAGCCGAAAAGGCGGCGGTTCTCTGGCTCCTGGCGATCGGTCAGCGCCCAAATTCGAAGGAACAAGGCAAGCGGGATCCCGAAGCACCATAGCACCAGGCCACTGACGCCAATGGCGAAGAGCGTCCAGTGCTCCTCTTGCCAGCACACCACGTCGGGATGCGCATGCAGCCGCTGCACCGTCACCGCCGACTCCTGCCCATCTTCACGAACCGAGATGCATCGAACCATCTGCAAGAACTGGGACATCAGCTCTGGCCATAAGGCAAGCTGTGTGAGCCATATCACCGGAACGCTTTGCTTCAGCAGCGCCATAGGTCTAGGCCAGGATGTGAAGAGAGCGAGGTCCATCCTTGCCGCGCTCCCTTGGACCGCTGCCACGAGCTCCGACTCTTTCAGTCGCAGATGACGGCAAGCGCGTCTGAGCAGGGACCGTCCACTTTCACCTCGCAAGTTGACGAGCTCGTCGACGGACTCTGCGGTGCCGGCCACCTCCACGACGAAGTCCGCCTGCAGCCGAGGTTACTGCGCGAGCTTTAACTGGTTGCGGTGAAAAGACTTTGGGCATCTGTCAGGAATGCCTCAACTCCTGAAACGATGAGCCGCCCCAGCTCTCTGTAGGTCTAGGCTGTGGCAGCACAAGATATCTGATGCTTTCACATCTAGTGTTTTTGTCTTTGCGCATTGTCCATAATGTGAAGCGTAGTCTTGCAACAGTTTGAGGCTGCGGATGGCTCTGGCTACTTTGTCATGAACCTTGCCTCGACTTATAGCGCACAGCCTCGCGTGGTGTGCATTCCTGAAGTTTTCTCACAGTACGGCCTTCCTCCTACACTGCTACGCATGCATGGGCTGGAGACGCCCATGGCCTATGGAACTTTGGCAGCGAGCACGGCAACGGAACAAACACATACGGATGTCTGATGCGTCTTCAAAATCGCGACAAACCCTGCGAGCCTTTGAAAGGCCTTCCCGGTCAGCTTCTGCCTCAAGTTCTCCTCTGCCGCAACCGCTTGGGCTGGGAATCAGGGAGCTAAAGACTTAGCCAGGTCCGATGTCAAGCTGTAGACATAACAGCTTGTTGCCAAACTCTGCAGCCAGGGTTACAAGTTTGGCCACACTGCACAGACACGGTACAGCACGGGCAGTCAAGGCTTTTTCTCTACGGGAGCTGATCACGGGTCCGTCCTCGCACTTTCCACGCCAGGACACCAAGGACCTGGAAGACACAGAGAATCAATCCACTACAATGCTACGATGGGGCACGCCATCTTAACGTTCGCATGGCAACGCAGCATAGCGGAAGCAGCTGAAATTGCAGGCCCACGTGCTCGTTGAGTTTTTAGGCTTCAAGCTCTGTGCAGCAATCTCGCCTTTTCCATCCTTTCGCCAAGATTCGGCACATGGACAAAGTGTGCTGCTTCGAGTATGTTCAGACTCAGACACAAATCAAATCATCTGGGTATCAAGTGTACTGAGCAGCCTTCAGGAAGTGAAGCCCTTTGCTGCCACGCTGCAAAAACCTCTGCCCGCCTGCCGGCCCGATCCCCGACTGTTGAGGAAACAAGGCGCTCGTGTCGGTCGGATGTTGTGGCCGAGGCAATGGGCATCATGAGTAGGAAAGACTTCCCTTCTGGCCAGTGCTAAGATGAGATCCCAAACTTAATTCAAAACACGGGCCATCGGATGCTCTTTTGTTGGCAGTGGCGGATTGTCCTCCTTTGATGGCCGCGTAGTAAACAGGTCAATGCACCCGTGTTTTGACTGGGTGCTCCGATGCAGTACGCCTGCTCGTGGAAGCAATGCTTGATGTTGACGCTGAGAATGTGAAGGTACGCCGATCAGACCCAGCATCAGCTCTGTCGGCGTCCGGTTAGCCGGGCAACCAGACGGATGGCTAACATTAGACTCACAATGATTACAAGGGCAAGACACCACAGTAGGAGAAGGCCTCCTCGCCTGTGAGCAAGGGCGGTTCACACAAGCCGGCTAAAACTCAACACACACACACACACACACACAGACACACAGAGACAAAGTTGAGAGAAGCAAACTGACATGCAGACACACAATGAGACCTTGAGGCAGGCACCAGTCGGCGCAGGGCTTTCTCGGAGATCAAGCCATCGGAAGCCTCAAGTGCTTGCAGGCCAGGGTCTCAATAGGATGTGAACCACACCCGCAGCACCACGGGGCGAGGATGTTAAGCAGTCGGCAGTGGAAACAAGCTGATCATCTTGTATGCCTCCAGCGAGAACGACATCTGGGACCTTCTCCAAGTGCACCTTGCCGAAATCAGTGACTATCCGATAAGCTGCTGCGCAGGGTGCCGCATGCGCCTCGTCCCAGACTCCCTGCGGGAGCTCTTGCAGGATGCGGCCCTGGCCCCGGGCCGACTCGGTACCCTCGCCGTGAGGGCCCTCGCCAAGGTCTTGGTGCAACTCGGCTCAAAAATGCGGGGTTGCAAGCGCTTCGGTCCTGCCTGCTTCATGAGGTTCAACTGGCCTCGCACTGCCTGTAGGGCTGCCTGCTTCTTGGCCTTCCTGCGGTCTGCTTCCTCAGCTCTTCGTGACATTCGCCATGTGCAAGCTGCGATTTGGGCTTAGGGATTGAGACGACCTGCTGTGCGGCCGGGCATCATTGAAATGGATCCCGAACATCTTTCCCAGCGGCAGCACGGCGTAGACCACAAGTGTTGACAGGAAAAGTGTGCCGAGAAGACTCAGCACCGGCAAGCACAGGTAGTACAGTACCGGCGCACTCCACTTCATGCCCTTATCGCTCGACCAGGTCTCAGATTGGCACTCGGCCGCGAAGTGGACGCTCGCCCGTGGAATCACTGCTATCATAGAAAAAACTCCACGCATGGCATCGGACACTGCCTGAGGCCACGCAAATCGTAAAATTTCAGTGCACTCCCCATCGCAGCTGACCTGTGATTCTTCCTGAGACCACGAGAAAGGCTGCAACCGATTCAGATCAAAGGTAAGCAAGATCTGGCATGCTCCAATCCAGGCCTGCATCATGCGTATCATGCAGGTATGGAGCTTTAGCGAGCTCCCCGAACCTTTCGCCGCCAGAACAGTAAGCACGAAGTTCAAAACGGTAATTCGCGTGAGGTCTGCTAGGACGGCGGCTGCCAGCAACCAGGCACCCTCGTCCGGAGGGCAGGGCTGGCAGTATTCCAAAGGGTTGCCTCTGCCCCAGCCGTCCGGGCACTCCCCACACATCATGCCAGAAGAGCCCTCGGCGCATTGATTTCCGACAGCTTTGCCACAACCTGCAAGAGTTGCATCACGCTTGCACTCCGGAGAAAGGCCACTACAGGCACTGTCTCCGTTCGGAAGGACAACGTGGCATTGGACCGCCAGCGTGCTGCCAGTTTGGAACCAGCCGGCAATGGATCTTGGCTGGGTGTGATTCCTTGTGCCCTCATCGAAGTCACCAGGGCAAACCAAGCCACTGTAAAGAGCACAGGAAGCGCAGCGATGCAACTGGCCTTTGCTGTCAGTCTCTGCAACGTGCCCAGGCAAACAGTAACAAGCATCCACTTCCGTGGAGCCTGGACTGCTGTCTGCATTCGCAGGGCACGTCAGGGAGCAGACTTCGTTGCCTAAGCTGGGTTTGTACCTTCCCGACGGGCATGGCTCACACCGTTCTGCATCACGGTCAGCCTCATATCCGGCCTCACAGAGACACTCTGACAAAGACCGCGATCCTTCAGAAATCGTCGTTGAGTTTGCTGGACATCGAAGTGCGATGCCCGAGCCGTTGCAGTAATATCCGATCTCGCAAATGCGGCAGTCTCCCTCATGGTCGTACAAGCCAGCAGCGCAAACGCACTGTTGCACCGAAGTGGCACCACGCTGAGCAGTTGATTTCGGAGTCTCACATTTGTTGCATTCTGTATCTGCCAATGCAGATTTATACTCACCCTGGGGACAAAGGCCACACATGCCAAACTGCGCATCGAAGCCGTAGCCCGGCAAGCAGAGGCAGTCACTTGCACTTAAGATCGGGACACCCGGAGGCTTGGCTGAAAACTCTGGGCAAGTAATTGTCACAGAGGACACCTCGGGTGCTGATGCTGCCTCGATGATGAAGTCGGACAAGTCGTCATTCAACCGGACAGCATCGCTCATGTCACTCACAAGCACACTCACATCCGTCTCCTGTGCAGAGAGGTTGGCCTCGACCGTCGAGGAAAATTTCAGCATGATCACAACTGAAGGCAAATCTGACAACCTGCGGCCGGCTGGATCTGCCGAAGGTAGCATGATCTCTACAGCGCTAGGATCCATCCGTGTAGAGTCTGCGATGCTTCGGCGCAAGGTAGCAATCAGCTCACGCCTGACATCTGGATCAATCCAGTCTTTGCCGAGAGATATGTTGAAAGTCATGGTTGCTACGTCTGAGGCATTGCTGACGCCTGCTTCATTCAAGTCCACCACACCAGAGCCTCCCTCCTCATCTGTAGCTGGAGAAATGCACGATGCACTGGACACCGAGCCACTGAAAAGAGTCGTCAAGTTCTGCGGACAAGCATTACAGGCCAAGGCATTGCCCACATCAGCCTTGTAGTATCCTCTGTCACAGGTGGTGCAACCTCCGGAATCCATAAAGTAGCCAGCCACACACTCGCAAGCTGAAGGTGCAGAGGCGCTTCGTTGCCGTGTGGTCTCATGGTCGGAGCAAGGAAATCTTGTTGCGGACCGTGGACCACCTCCAGGACAATAGAAGCCACGGCCACATGGAACACATCGCAAGGATGTAAAGAAAGTACCTCAACACTTCTCTACATTGGTGCTCCTTAATCGACGCAAAAACGATGCCGAAAGCGAAACCCTAGCGCAAATTTGGAGAGGCCCCACCTTCTGGGCAATCAATCTGCAAGCGACCAGCTGGGGCTCGAAATGATGAAGCTAGCTCGCAAGCACGGTGTTTTGGGCACCAGCAGATTCCGTAAGTTGCAGGGACAGTCCATGCCGGAAGGTATCCCATCAACAGCTGCAGCGTCTCGTCCTTTCTTTGGAGGTAAAACGGCTGGTTCAAGGACATGAAACTGCTCATGTTGCCGGCGGCTCTATCACAAGTTCCCTCAACCACCATCATTGCATCGTCTTCCTGCAGATCGATGCCTGACAACTCCAGTGCGCAAAAGCTCCCGACGCTGCAGGTGGAAGTCTGCTGGAAGGGACCAGCAGCTGTCATGAACCCAACAGAGGCTCGGAAAGAAGTTGCCCCGTCACAGTCTGCATCTGCAGGTGGCCTGCAAAAGCAAAGTCTAAAGATCCCGGCAGGTGACAGAAGCAGATTCGACTCGGCCCGGAAGTGGAAAGCCGCACCGTCCTTACACGACAGGTCAATGAAGTTTGCATCTCTCTCACGTTGCCTCTCAATCTGTCTTCTTGGCCCTCGTGAGGCCACCACATCCCGCAGGCAAATTCGAAAACGCAACAGCAACCCAGACGAGTATAACAAGGGAAAGGGAACCGAAACAGCAGAAGGGAGAACCGTCGCAGGAAAAGTCTTACGGCAAAGAACTTCCTGCTGTAGAAGGGTACAACTTAAACTCTACGATCGCACGTCTGGATACTGCTCGAGCCTGAACGGAATTCAATCAGGACAGAGCATACAGGATACAGCACTAGAAGGGCATTCCAACACTCGATGATGTGCTGTGCAAGTCGTGCTCTTCTTATTACTCAATTCGGCACCCTTTAAGTATAGTTGCTAATCGACTTGTAGCTTTCACAGGAGGTTCTGCAGACTTGAGACATGGGTCCTTTACCATGACTATCCGCCGGTGCACTGCAAGTTTTATCCGTGTAGTATCATGGAAGCTAAGAACAGCATCTTCTGCCTAGCAAAATGCAAAAAGCCTCTCTGCAAGTCCATAAAAACCCTAAACCCTATAGACTCAGATAAACCCTAAACCTTATAAATCGAACTCCTACTACAACCTGGAATACTGCCGTGGATTGGTCTCGTCAACAATGATTGGCGTTCAAGCATGGCTTTTTCGATGGAGGACCGAAGTATGCCCTATGGTTCTCCAAGGATCCCGCCTCCCCTGGAAGGATCCTGTGACCTATATAGGTCGCTGATCAAGCCGATTAGAAGGAAACCAGATTTTGACGAAGCGGCTTGCTGCGGCAGCTCAACCATCTCTGCCACGCCGCCACCCGGGAAGCCTGAAATGGCTGAACTTGTGCCACAGGCGGCCAGAACCATGATCCTGTCACCTGGTCGAAGCTGGCCCCGGATGTCCGGCAATGCACATGGTTGGCCAACCGCGCAGCTGACCTCCTGATTTTTGCGGGGACCTTCCACGACCAGCTGGCCAAAGGAAACCACGAAATCCTGGACCGTGCAAGGCCGTACTCCACACCAACATAGATCGTAGCCCTCGCTCTCATCGAGGGATATGCTATGATCGAAGCCATCTTGGGATGAGCCGAAGTTCAAGTTAAGTTGCGAGACACCCTGCAAGAGGCCGGAGCCATTCTGATTGGCAGGCGAGAGCTGCAAGGTGCTTTCAGTACCACAACCATTCCGCACAGCCACGCCGTCACCTTGAGACAGCCCAATGCCTTGCACCTGGAAGCCTGTGCAGTCCTGGCCACGGACGCAAGCGAACTGTTGATTTCCGAAGGGTCCGATGACCCGCAGCTCACCGGAAGAGATCTGGAAGTCCTCAGCCTCGACACACGTCAAGTCATGCATGTTGGCGCACCAGCACAGGTGGTAGTTCCCACCAAACGGCACGAAGTCCCTGAACACGTACCGACTGCCGCCATCGCTTGCAACCTCGGACATGCCTGCATTGGCAACGCCGGACGCTGCAACCTTTCTGCCAGTACATTCAGATTGGGATATGAGGAGGCGATGTCCATCTTGGAGACTGAACCCGTGCACGTGCAAGTCGCAAACGGTCCCAGAGGTGCAAGTAAACTGCTGCTCGCCGCGTGGGCGGATGCACAAATCTTCGGTCCCGGACCCAGTGAGCTTCGTGGTCGATTTTTCGACACACGGAGTGCAGGGTGCGTCTGAGACAGCTCCGGTGGCATTGCTCCAGGTGCCGACCGGGCAGGGCGAGCAGTCGCCTCTGCCGACAAAGTCCTTGAAGCGGCCTGCTGGGCATTCTTCGCAAGTCTCAAAGCCGAAGTGCCCAGCAGCACAGACGCAGTCCGCCACGGTGCTGACAGTGATGACCAATGTGGATGTTGACGGCGGGCAGGCCTCTCGGTGGTCTCCACCGTGACAGAAGAAGCCCAACCCACAAGGCTCACAGCTGGCAGGATCCCCTGGCACGCTGCTAACGTAACCTGCCCTGCAAGCGCAGTCTGCGGAAGACATCATGCCGGACAGCCCTGTCGTCGAACCAAAACTGCAAGCCGTGCAACTCGCGTTGCCCACTGTCGACTTGTACTTGCCTGCTGGGCATGCTTGGCAGCTGCCTGCTGAGGCCTCCGTGCCAGGCGGACATTGGCACTCTGCGAGGCCTCCGATGGGGCCGGGTGGAAATGCCAAAATGCCAGGGCACACCACCAACTGCTCCAGCACGGGTCCCTGAAGAGCCACTGTTGCCACAGCCCACTCAGTTTCTTTCTGGTCTGAAGATATCCAAGCGGAGAAGGGTGCCGGATCGAACTTTGCATGCAGCTCGGTGGCGAGCTCTGCTTCTGAGCTGGTGACTTCGTAGTCGAGTCTGTCACTGACGACCTTCAGATCCAATGATGCGCGTGCCAGTCCCTCCAGTCCAAGGTGGGACACCAGAGCAGCGCGGAACTCCACCAAAGTTGCGGCCCCTGCTCCCTCAAGTGAGCCAAAGAAGACGTGTGCTTCAACTTGTCTGCGTAGATCCAGCAGTCCGTGCGTTGCAATCAGGGCTGAGGCACTTGCCGTCTGTGTGCAGTTGAACAGATCCGGGTCAAGGTTCGTGTCGAAGTAGTTGTTTGCACAATAACACTCTTGCAGGGATATGGCTCCGGTGCCTAGTGTCGTCGTTCCAACCGGACAACTTTGACAGAACTCAGTTCCCGTCCGATTCTTGTAAGACCCGATGAGGCACGGACGGCAGAAGCTGGACTGTGCGTCCCAGTAAGTGCCGCGGCGACACTGGCAATGCTCCTCAGCACTGGATCGGCGAGTGGAAATTCTGAATTCGGGGCACGGCCGCAACTCAGCAGCCTGACCTCCTGGACAGAAATAGCCCGCCGGACACTCCTGGCACTGTCTGATGCTCAGCAGCTCGTAGGTGCCCGGAGGGCACACCACATCCAACTTCATTGCCACCGCACGGAAGTCCTCTGGAGCACTGCAGTTCGATCTGGACGCGCACCAGCACAGCTGAAGCTTCTCCGGGGTTGTGTTTGTTGGCAACATGCCGAAGTCGAAGGCGAAGTCATGAGATGCTGTGACAGAAGCAGAGATAGGCTGTGGATTTAGAAACAAGGAAGATGCGTTCGAGGTGACGCACAGTTGCATTGGCAGCAGTAAGTCATCCTGTGCAAGCTTCGCCCCCTGTAAGCCGACTACGATGCACTGCGCTCCGACGAAGCACTCGAAGGACTGATCCGGGAAAGGACCCCGCACCAACAAGAATCCCGTGCCAGTAACAGAATCACTCTCTTGAACACATGGTGCCGACACCGAACAGTGCCAGCTGCAGAGGCGATATGTGCCTTGGCAGATGTTGCATTGGCTGAGAAACGGGGGGGGTAACGAGCGCTTACTGCCAATGGGTTCTGATTCACTACCAACATCTGGGCCCCCGACCCGGAAGGATGTTTACCTGCGACGATTTGGTAGAGTCATCGAGCTGTACGTCGTTGGCAAACACAAACTGGGAGCCGTTGTACACGAGAAATCCTCGACCTTCGCTCACCTGCGAGCAATTCTCCAAGACTGCGAGGCCTTGATGGTATTCTACATAGCACTGTTGACCCAGCACACATTCGACGATGAGCGTCGGCGAGACTTCTGGGCCGAGGTATCGCCAGGTGTCACTTCGGTAGGATGCGTCGAAACCAGCGTGGATGAGCAAACTTCGAGAGTGGGAATCCCAGCAGGCGACATGGTCTGTTCGGGCGGCAGGCCTGAGGCCATGTTCGTGGAGGGCCATAGGCATCCAGGAATCCAACAGCAAACTGTAGTTCCAAAGGTCATCGGAGTAGCTGGACTCTCCGTCCTCATGTCGTATGCCTCCATGCACAAGCATGGACATGGTGAGAGGATCCCAGGCGGCCACATGCCCAGCACGGCTCGGTGGCTGTGAGCCGAGAGGCTCAAGCAAGCTCCAGCGCTGATGCCAGCTGTTGAAGTGCCACAGGTCCGCCAACGGCTCCGAACCGGCCCAGCCCGCGAAGACCAGCATGGACTCTGTCGCCTCATCCCAGACAGCTGAGTGGCGACTGCGGGGCTCGGGCTCGGGACTGCTCGAAGTGCTCTGTGCACTTTGCAGCTGCCTCCAGGTCCTGGCCTCTGCTTGGTATGCCCAGAGATCGTTCAACAAGGAGCCGCTCTGGCCCGCGAAGACCAACATCGCACGGCGAAGCGACTGCCAAACAGCTGAGTGGCCTACGCGGCCTGCCGGGCTGAAAGGAACGGAAGGCTTGTTCCAGGAGTTCTGCCGGAGGCTCAGGATCCAGAGCTCATCATGCAGGATTGTTCCATACTCGCCACCGAAAACCAGCATCTCTTCTTGGATCTCATCCCACACGGCGGTGTGCCCCGCTCGGGGGGAGGGGCCCGAGGTGCTCGTCACAAGCTGCAGCCAGGACTGCGTCAGCAAACTGTAAAGCCAGGTATCCGAGAAGAAGTCGAAGTGGGCACTGGCCTCTCCGGCATGAACCAACACAGAGCTGCGGCTGCTCAGCCACACCGCGACGTGCCTCGTGCGTCTGGCTGGGCTGACCGAGACCGTGGTGGAGAAGTCACTCCAAGCATCCACGTGGCACACGGCACCGGCTGCTTCGATGCCGTGGCAATCGTGCACACCCCAGCCCCGGAACGGGCACGAGCCAAGGTTGGTCTCGTTGCCGTAGCAAGCCAAGCCGTCCATCCAGATGGGCTCCTCTCCTCCCCCAAAACGAGAGATGCTGTTGCCACCTGCAAGCCCCAGCTGCCTGCACAGGACCCGTGCGTCCACGTCATCCCAATCATCATCGCATACAGCACCCCACACGCCTTTGTGCAAGACCTGCACCTGGCCACGCATGACTCTGCAATCTGCGCATGCTGAATCGTGGAGGCGGACCTGCACCGAGGTCTCGGTATCTGGAACCGGCAAGTCCACAGCGGGCAACTGGTTCCCCATCTCACCGGGTCTATTTCCTATGGCCTGGACATCCCCGCTACCCAACCTGCCGTAGCCCCCGTCTCCCCAGCACTTCACTGAATCATCATCGAGGATGGCACATGCGTGGAGATCGCTACTGGCGATCTGTCGTGCAGTGCGGCCCACACCCAAATCAATGGAAGGTAGCGTGTCGCCGACTTGGGACAAATCGATGCCTGCCGTGTCTCCTTGCCCGACCCTTGCATTCCATCCCCAACACTTCACGGAAAAATCATCCATCAGCGCGCAGCCGCTGCTGAACTGCCGCACGGTATGCGATCCAAAGTCAACGCTGCTTGCATAGCTGTCATGTGCAAAGCACATTGCGGTTCCGTCATCCATGATAGCGCACGCCTCCAAGGAGGACGTGCCACCATGAATTTCCTTGACCCGCCTCCCTCCCAGGTCCACTGCTGGCATGTGGTCGCCATCGATCATGCCGTAGGGGTTGTGAGTTTGCCAACATTTCACCCCGTTGTCGTCCAACAACACACACACTCTGGACCTTCCGGGCGCGAGTTCTTGTGAGGGCCGAAGAGATACTTGTCGGGCACTGCGGTTGGCTCCCAGAACCAGGAGACGGTCAATTTGGCCGTAATGTCCACACTTAATCATATAATTGTCCAGCAGAGCGCACGTCATGTCGTCACCCGCTTCTACCTGCAGTGCCGTCCGCCCCTCGCCCAGGTCGATCACGGGCAGGTTGTCCCCTATCGGGCCAAGCGACTGCGCGGCGTTGGACACACCGAACACCTTCACTGTGCCATCATCAAGAAGCACCGCCGTGAACGCGCGGCCAGCTGATACTTGCACTGCCGTGCGGCCGGTGCCAAGATCAATCGCGGGTAGCCGGTGCATCTCGAGAGGCTCGTCTCCAATGGACTCCAAGCTTTCTTGCCCCAGACTCCCCCCGTAACCCCAGCAGCGCACCTCTCCGGAACTCTTGTGTAAGATGCAGGAGTGGGCCCAGCCAACTGACAGCTCTGCAAAAGGCCTCGAGACGAAAACTTCAGAAACTACCACGTTGTCCACGGCCACACTGCTGGCAGAATCATATCCAGTTGCCATGAACTGCAGGCCGTCCGCAAAGGCGGGAATTACAACTTTGGCCTCATGCCATAGCTGGGATTGGGTCGGATCTCGTCCAGCCTGAATCTCCCACAGAACTTCCCAGCAATTGGAAGTGCAACCGTGCTTGTGGTACCGGAGCTGAAGCTTGCCAGATTGGCCTGGGCGATAAGAGAAGAGCAAGTCCTTGGACTCGGACTCTGCAGGGAAAAGTGGGCTGAGCAATATGCCCCCACCGTCACTTCCCATGTACCACTCCCCAGAACTAGCATCACCTTGAACTCTTTGCCAACCTTGCCAATCACAGGCATCCAGCTCAAAGTCGCATGTGACATTCCCGATGCTGGCGACAGGCCTGCCGGGTTTGCGAGTATTTCCTCCAACAGAAACAAAGCTTAGACACCCAGCCGGGGTGCTTGTGATTGTGGAGGCTGCCAAGCAAAGCACCGCGCCTCTGCGCACAGAATCTCAGCTTCAGCTGACCATATCCTCCAAGTCCCATAATTTGCACCTTTGACACTGTCTGTAGAGGCCAAATAACAGAAGCTCAAAAGAAACGTCACACGCAGATTGAAGACCAAGGTGCCGGATCAGAGGCTACAAGGTCTTGCGGGCCTGGAAGGCCCCAATGCAAGTCCATATTTGAAAAATCCATATACTGAAGCCGACCTCGCCACATCCCTATCAACGCGTCGTCAATGCTCTCGAAATGCGTAGTGTGCAGAGCCGTGTCCGTCGTGAATGTGCAACGCAGGAGACTTGGGGCGGTCTCAGGGAAATGCAAGCAGGAACCATCAACCTCGCAATCACCTGCAGTTACCACAATAGCCGGTGGAAGCCATGAGCGCACCTCGAAGGGGACAGCGACATTATCAACCTACACCCGCAAAGCTGAAACAAAGCGTCGCATCACAGGGATGGAAAGCGTGGGCGAGTCTTGGTGTGTCGATCTGTCGGTCTCTCTGCGTGTCGAGGTATGGTAAGTCTGTAATGTAAGACCCTTCAGGGTCGCCAAGTTAGTTCCGTGTTTTTTGTCCGGGCGATGCTTCGTTGTTTATCCGCTGTCCTTGTGTATGCTCCTTTCTCTCCCCGCTAAAACTATGGTTGTTTCTCAGATTGCCGGAAATCTGGTGTAGTGCATTCGCACTGTTTGGGGATCTAAGCCGGCCTTATGGTTTAAGCCACGGGGTTTTCGCCTGGGCTCCGGCAGTGGAGGTTGCCTGGCTTGCTTGGCTTGCTTAGCTGCTTGCTTTGGTTGCTGAAGCATTCCCCAATACAGATAAATACAAAGCAAAACACAAAACTGCCCCGAACAAAAATACCACCACTTAGGATATTTTGCTGCCTGCAAGTCATCCAAGCCGATAACGTCACGGCACAATCCTGTCCCGATTATGCACGTGAAGCGGAGTGCTTGCGCTTCCTCTGGTAGTCCCACATGAGCAAGACGCCATCGGTCACCCTGGTTCCCGGAGACCGACCATACGGTGGTCCACAGCATGCCATGCCAGAATTGTAGTGTCAAGTGGCTCGGGTCACGTGCGTCGTAGATGTTGTAGCGGAAAAGGACGGATCTCTCCGCACCATCACCCCTTCTGAACACGGGGCTTCCCAGCACAAACTCCTCTGCAGATCACTTGGCACAGTGGGCTCGGCATCAGGTCTTAGCATGAGCCCTCAGTGAACTACGGACCAAAAGTGGTATACCAGACGATACGCTGAATTCCTTTACACTTTAGCATCAGCTAGTATGGCTCTAGCTAGCCATCCGTCTGCACCAGGCAAAGGCCACGGAAAAGCTCATAACAGTAACAATGGGCATACACACTCGTAAAGCACCAGCAAACGGACAAGCAGCAAACCAACACGTCCTCACTTACATCAAAACGGGAGATGTACCAGATCTGGCGAAAGTGCGGAATTCAGATGTAAAACGTACACCACGTCTCATACTGCATACCGCCGCCAATGCCCCCACCATGATCTAGACAGATGGGTGCACGGCACGTGTGACAAGTTCATTCATGGACACTGAACCCTGGTGAATCCGAACGATTCCTATATTGAGTCGTTGGGGGATCAGGCCCAAAAAGTTTGGTTGGGAAGAACCACGCGCCGGGAGGATGGCGGCACTGGAGCAAGATGGGCCTAGGCAGCATGGCTCGCCATGAATGACCAAACGCATCACCCTACAAACAGGATAAGGTGCTGCGATGACATCGGAAATCTGGATCTACCACTCCGGAACCTATTCAAAAGAACAATGTTGCCTCTGGTCCGATAACCTAGCACCAGACTTCCAGGGACTGATCCACAAAGCGCACACACTGCACAGTGCGCCTCGTCATTCGTGACTTTCCAACTGCAGGAGTCGGTCTCAAAGCTGCATGCCACGATATCGTAGTTCGGCAGTTGGGTTGCTGTTGAAAAATTGGAAGTTTGCAGCGAATCTAATGCAAAAGCCAGGTCGCTGGCATTCCCATACCTCGTCATCCCGAGGAACCGCAACGCTTGTGCATCATCCGGCAACCGTACTTCAGCTCGATTCCAGGCTCCGCCCGGGTCACTGGACGGCGACCACTCTGTGGTCCAATTTTCTCCATCCCAAGATTGCAGCATCAAGCGGCCCATTCCCGATGTATTCATGTGATACTCAAACTGCAAATGCCTCTCTTCGCTGTCGCCTTTTGTGAACTCGGGGCTCTCAAGTGCAAATACCTCCACACATGAAGGGATGGGATGCACAGCACACCATAAGTTGGCAGGCCCAGTTACATTTCATCTGTCTGCGTGCCTGTGTGTGTGCCTGTGTGTGCGTGTGCGTGTGCGTGTCCGCGTGTCCGCGCGTGCCCTATAAAGATCAACTTTAGATTTTATAGACGCGTCATCGCTGTAGCATGCGGGGAGTCCAAGTTTGGTTTGCGCACAGAAACGACAAAAAACTAAACGCTTTAGCTTCACTAAATGGTGGCTGTCAGTTCCTGCATATCTTTTTCAGACGGATGCTTTCGTGGTCAAACATGTGCAGAGGTGTGTAAACATGTGTAAAACATGTGTAATCGACATAAAACACTTGCAAGGCAGCCGCGGCAGAGCACAAGGCATCAAAGTCACGAGAAGAGTGCACACTGGCGAGCAAAACACAAAGGAGGCACAGCGAAACAACACCAACAGAGGGTGTCCGGGAGGCAGGTCAGCAGACTGGTTTCAATCCCACAGACCCATGCCTTGGGGGCGACTTCAACTACTCTTCCCAGGGACCCCCCCGCCCGCCCCCCCGAGGTGTAGTGTATCCCCATGTTCCCAAGGTTCAGGATCAAGGCGGTATACTTGGACTTGCTGGTACAGACCGGAACTGGCCCTTCTTCAGCTAGTCCAAATCGATGGAGGCAAGGACTCGGCATCTTCCGAAGTGAGAGGTCCCCGATGTCGTCCTCATCGACTCCAGCATTCAGGGAATAGTGAGCATCGCATTGAGAAGTTCTTCGCTAGAAGCTGGGTTACCGTCCTTGTGGAGTTCCTTCACCTTCTTGAGGAGGGCCTCCTGAACTTCAAGGGCAGATGCACGGATGTTTGAGGCACTCTCCATGAGACGATCGTTCAAGGTGCTCCGAACGTCACCTGATCTGAACACAACGTCCAAGCGATCAGGGCGGCGCTGGTAAATGGGGACCATTTCGCAAAGCTGCGCGAACAGATCCTCAGAGCTGAGCGTGTATTTTTGTCCTCCATGTGGAGGAGCTTCCACTCTCCAACTCATGTGTTGCACCTTCAAGGTATTCACATGGTCCCATGCATAATCGCGAATGCCGGTGTGATAGAGTAGCCGTAGCCGTACTTCTGTTTAATCAGCAAACGCATAGGACTCGGTCTTTCCATCAAGAGAAGATTGGCCACGAAGTGCTTGTACTCATCAGTGTCGACAAGACCAAGCTTCTCCGTAGCCTTCTCAAGGTTCTCGAACGTTTTCCTCAGCAACCTTTGCGGCCTTGTTCCACTCCGGATCGGCGGCGTTCTTGCATTTCCCCCAGATGCCTTGGTCGTGAAGTTCACTGTCATCATCTTTCTCGGGGGAGATGTCTGGCATGGATTCCTCACCCTATGGTGAGCTTTCCTTTGCCGTGTCGTCGTCCTTGGACTCTTCCTCTTGACCCATGTGCTCATCTTTGCTTTCCGATACCTCTCCATGTGGAGAGCCTTCGGCAGGTTCGACCTTCACCCCAGATGCCTCTCCCTGCGAAGAGGTTTCCGGAGCTTCCGTCTCCATTGGCACATCAGGTCTCGGGCTCATCAACCTCCTCGACCTGAGGACAAAGAAGCTCTTCGAGGAACACCTCCACAAGGATGTCCTCGTAAGGACGAGTGTAGAGCTCCTCCAACGCTGCTTCCCTCTTCTCCTTGAGGGTCTCATACGCGAGAAGATTGGACCTCGCCTTCCGAGCAAATGTTGACTTGAAGTCCTTGTTCTCGGTATTGCGGACAGAACTCTCTCCAGGCTCGCCAAAATATAACGACCATTGAAGTGAGCGTGGAGTCAAAGAGTCCGTACCCTTCCGGAGTCCGTACAAGGTACTTGCGGCGGATCTCCTCGTCGTGTGCATTGTGCTGGGTGTAAGAGAAAAAAACCGGGCCGTAGGCCTCGTTGATGACGCCGACGAGCATCTGAAAGTCCTCCCTTACGAAACCAATCTCTCGGTACACATCCCTTTCCTTGAGGAAAGCATTGCGTGCCTCGAGTTTGCAGGAGTAGTCCGGATCCTCAGTCTTTGGCATCCGCGCTCGAGGGTCGTCTTCCCTTGGAGGTTTGAACCCAATGTTCCCAGCAGTAGGACGAAATTCCAAGGTAGCCGCCCGACGTTGTCGATCATTTCCGCTAGGCTCCTGGCTGCTTGCTGCGGTCCATGTATGGGCTGCTGTACCCATTTGAATAGACCTTTGGCTTCTTCTCCATCTCGACGAGATAGTTCCCCTGGAGCTTCCCCATCTCGAAAGCCTTGAGGAAGAAGTGAAGGGATAACCAGGATGCCCAATCGTACTCTCCTCCCAACGCGTCTTGCATACTGGTCGACAAGGTGTGCCAGGGTGTGACCTGGACGATCGGATCGTCATACGCAGACAACATCCGCTGGCCGCTGGTGTCGACACAGTGCAAGAGACCGCGCGCAAAGAGATGCCAAGGGTTTGTTCTTGGCTTGCGAAGAATTTTGTTGAGCTCCGCCTGCTGCTGGGCCTTGCGCGCGTCAATCTTCCCGTGAACGGTGTCACCAAACTGATAAGCATACTTTGTGGCCCCTTCGGACTGCGTGGCAGTGGATTGGCGCTCCTTCTCTTCCTGGAGCGGATGAGCTTTTGAAGAGCGGCCGCGTCGAGTGTGGGTACCTCTCCCTGAGGAGAGCCTCCCACACGTGGAGACGCACTGGCATCTTGAGATACCTTTGACCTCTTCTTTGGAGCTGGCCGAGGCTTCGGATCCGAGCTGCTTCCCGGTACCTCTGCCTGAGGAGAGCCTCCGGACGCAGAAGCAGATGCCGAGGTTCCCTCTTCATGCGCAGAGCCAACCCCGGCAGAATTCTGCCTCTTCTCATGATGCAGCCCACCAGGATCATTGTCATGTGGCGGTCTGTAATGGTACGTCAAGTACATCGGTGCCACGTCGACATATGAGAGCACCACGCCGTTGTCTGTGAGATACAGCTCATGGCCATGGCAGCTCCCATAGTCAAGCTTGGCGTAGAAGGTGTGCGAGCCGTACTTGGTCCCAGGCCCGGAGAAACCTCTCCACCCGCATAAACGCAGTGGATGGCTCTCCTGCGCCTCTGCCACGAAGCCTTCTTGGCCTCCAAGAGCAGTCCTCTTTCGCGGATACTCTCATAGTTAGAGTTATCCGACACATGAAAGATCATGCCCAGCTGTGGTGGCATCTTTCCAGGGTGAGTTTCTCACCCATGGCGGCTTCTCACACCTGCTCGGGAATCCCGCTGTGTCCTTGAATGGCGGCAACCCCGATGTCAAAATCCCAGTTGATAAAGCGACTGAAGGACAAGGCTTTGGGGGCCGCCCAGACGTTGAAGCGGCCCTTCGAGTTCGCCATCAAGAAGCTACAGAATTTCCTGGGTTCCAATCGAAGGGACGGATCTTCTGTCGCATCATGGTTTCCAAGGACACTTCCATGTACTTTCCCAGAGTGACCCCCTCGTTGTGTCGCAAGAGCCCAGATAGGGCCTTGGAGCTACGAACGGCCGAGCTGCCATGGTCGTGCTTGAGCTTGGAAACCTCGTAGATTTCCTTGTCAAGCGCAACCAGCTCATCAGCCCAGGAAACAGCAGAGGAACTCATACTTCCAGACGAGATGCTTCTGCAGGATGTGTGTTCCCGGGTGGCTCTCCTCATACAGACGGGCGTGTGACAGAAATGCCAACTGTCCTTCCAGAATCTTTGTTACGGCTGTCTCCCTCATGTGGGAAGTACAACGTAACATCCTGCTGTCCATAGAAGCGAGGAACGGTTCCGGCTTGATCTTGAAGGAGGCCACAGGTGCACCGCGAGGAAATTCGCGGGATATCCGCAGGCTATAGATAACCACGTCGCCATCTCCAACTGATCGGAGTACACGACGTGGCGCTCAGGACGCGCTCTTCAGATACATGGCAAAGTCAGGAAACACCAGTTCGGACATCGACCTTGAGGTTGCATCCAATGTTCGGTGTCCAGTAGACCTGCACTGGTGCCTCCTCTTGAGAGGAGCTTCCAGTATCCATCGAGGCGGGTCCTGCCGCAGCCATGCTGGTAACAGAAGTGGAAGTTGCGGGCTACTTTCTCACTAAAGCTTTGAATAAGCTGATTTGAGCAACGCAGGCACAAATTTAAACAGAGTATCGCACCTCACTTTTTCCGCATCTGCTGCAAAGGAGTACATGTACAAACGGGCAACCGTTGTAAAGAATCGGCCACGGGCGCAGGGCGTGGCGGGCGGGAGCGAAAACTTAAGATGCGAGGGTTCAGCGCTCAACTCTAATTTGCAGAGTATCGCACCTCACTTTTTCCGCATCTGCTGCAAAGGAGTACATGTACAAACGGGCAACCGTTGTAAAGAATCGGCCACCCCCATTTGTCTCCAGCGTATATAAGTCATCAGTCGCAACCAATCCTCGCATCATGCGCCGTGTGCCGTCAAAAACTTCCAGGTAGCCGGAGGCAGGCAGAACTCGTGCCAAAGTTCGGCCTTGTCCACAACAGCAGCAAAAACCCCTGCCCAAGAGAATATGTGCTGCTTAACGGCTGGAGGAAGGAGAGGGAGAAAAGTAAGAGCCGCAACCTCCTGAATGTATATCTCCATGACCTTCTGAGTTATCCATCGCCCACGCCTTCGAACATAATCTGGGTTTTCAGTCATCTCCATGAGCCAGGTGGCTCCCCCAGCTCGCAAGGAGCCGAGGTCAAAGTCGCGGACCCCGGGCACGATGCCAGGGGGAAGCTTCAAGGCAAACAGCAGCTTTTTAAAGCGGTTCCGCAAAGTTGATCCAGAATATCGCCAGAGCTTTTCTGCAGGGTCAAGGGCCCCGAAAGCAATGATAATAACTCGCAACATCTGCGGCTGGTCAACACGAAGGGACTGATGCCTTGCAGCTTTAAAACGCGTCTTAGGCTCGCGGATAGAAAGAAGAATATGTTTGAAATCCGAAGTACCAACGTCAGATGGCAATACCAATTCTGAGCGGGTGGCTTCAAGAACCTCGCCAACTCTCGCAAGACCGCCCCAGCACAGGCAAACAACACCTGCCAGATCGACCCAGCCGTATATCAGGGCAACAGAAATTAGAGCCGTAACAACTTGCCAGGGCATCGCCGTATGATGCACCGGAGGCTCTTCTCTTTGCCAAGAAAAGGCAAGGTCCCACGCAGGTTGGAGCAGCCGACGTAAAGAGGGGCAGGCCGAGGAGAACATGTTCAGTGCCTCGGAATAGCTGCTATAGCTTTTGCCAGTCTTGTAAAGATGCTGGCCGTAGCAAACCAGGACCTCGTTGGCAAAGTCAGGGTCGGTGCGGGAGCGCAGAGTAAACCAATCCCAGGAGATGCCAAGCGTGCCCAGCCAGACAACAAAAAGCTCCTTGAGCTTGTCCCTGCGGTCCTGGGTGGTACGTTGCACAGGCCGGCCCGGCCGCAGGTCCGTACCAGCGCGCGAAAGCGCTCTCGCAGCGTCCAGTTTAGCAGAGCGTCGCGGATCCATGGCGGCAGCCTGCCCTAGGACAAAGAAGCCAAGAAGGAGACTTGACAGAGCCAGGAGGGAGAGCAAAAGGGAACCCTTAGAATAAACCCCGGAGAGAGGCCACTCACCAGGAAAACCCTTAGTGCTATCGAAGCCCCTGGTCCGCACGAAAGCCCGGAAGTCAATGTGGGCATCAGCACAGCCTACGGCGTCCCGCGAGTGCAAGGAAAGGCCAGGGCGGAGCAGGAGGGCAAGTCGAACCCAAGACGAGGCCCAGCGTCGGAGCCGAGGACGCAGGGAGTCTTGCTTGATGGCATCATAAGTCCAAAAGTCCAGCCCAAGTCCAGGGACAGGAGGCGGGATAGGATGGTCTCTCGTAGGGTGGTCAGCTGGCATCAGACGTGTCGGCGTGTACATGCTGCCAGGGTAGAGCCCCGCAGCGAGGCAGATCATAGAGGAGCGCCGAGCAGAATGCCTGAGACCATTCGAGGAAGAGCGGCCTTTGCCCAGAGAGGAAAGGGCAACGAAAGAGTCGCAAAGTGCGACAAAACGGCAGTGACCCTGGGTCAGAGCAATCTCCTTGTAGAGCCGGCAGAGCACAGAGGCCTCAAGGATATTGATGTGCACCGGACGAACCCAGGACCAGACAGAGTCGACCTGCCAAGGCAAAGCGACGGCTAGGTCATTAACACACTGGCGTTCAAGGCCAAGCACGGGCAAATCAGAAGAGGCCGCGGCAAACAGAAGGCTCCTGAGTGAAAGAGCGAAAGCCCGGCCGTAGGAGACAATCAGCCCGGCACAGTGCTTGAAACCCTTGGTAGCGGAACCAGAGCGAGGGCGCAGGTGCCGTGAAGTACAGGTGCATGCCTTGTGGAGGGGCCCAAAAGCAAGGCCTGTGCAAAGACACCAAAGGCTCCTCAGGCGGTGGTCACCAAAAGCACAGGACGACAGCTCGAAAGAGTCAGCGCGAAGCCGCCCAGCAGCAGCAAGGAAAACCGCGGAACCCAGGAAGGTCGACACCGAAGGGAGCTTAAGGAGCGCACAAATTCCCCGACTGCAAGCATGCCTAAAAATGGCAACGCAAGCGACGAAAGCCTCATACTCGTACCGGCAAGCAGGGATGCCCCAGCGGCTAAGCCTGCTCTGCTTGGAGCCCTTTGCAGAAGGGAGGCTGGTGGAGCAGGGAGGCACAAGGTATACCCCGAGAAGGTGACCCTGGTCAATCATGTGCAGCACCCAATCAAGCACAGTCAAGCGCTGCAAGCCCCAGTCAGAAGAAAGGCGAAAGTCAACGTGTGGCCCGGCAGAAAAGCCAAGACGCAGCAGCTCATCCCGGAGGTCAGGAGGCCCAATGAAGAGCTCGAGGAAGTCGAACCGGTAGGCAATCGGCCTTGGCAGGACCGGAGGCTCAGAGGCAGGGCCGGCCGGTGAGGAGAAACAGTCGCCAATCTCCTCGTGAGTGGGGTCATGCCGCTGGAGGGCGGCGGCTGCCTTGGTTGTCATACGGGAATAAGCGCCCTTCCTGTCGGAGCACAGCCACAGCGACTTAGAGAGGTCCCTGGGGACAGCAGCTGAGACAAAAGCCCCTTTCGACTCAGAGGAGTCCGTTGCGAAGAGGCGCGGAAGGAAGAGCACCGAAATGTCAGATACCGCAACGGGTGCCAGCACAGACACGAGCTGGAGCTCAGCAGCGACCTTCCTCGGAAGAGGCACAACCTTGGGGCAACCCGAATCAACAGTGCTCGACGGGCACAAGCCATACGCATGCTGGAAGCATGCGACCAGAGGTCGCCTGAACATAGCAATGGAGGTCCAGGCCCCAAGGACACATGCGTGCAGGCAGTCAGTGGTCGCCGGCATGGTGCTGATCTCAAGTGTCAAGTCGGAGAGGGCGAGCCGTTTCGCTGCCGGCGCAGCGACGGTGATGTGGCCCCGGCTGAGCGCTTCGAGCGAGGAGTTGATTTCTGCACCGGCAGCTTTTCCCTCGGGCTGGTCCCTGAGGTCCTTCTCGGGAGAACCAATGAGGCCTGCATCCTCATAGCACTCTAAGGCAACATCGAGGGCCTGGCTGGAGGGAGAAGGAACGGAGCCGCGAAGGGAGGCCCGTGGCACGCGAGCAATCGAGAAGTAATCATCAATCACCAAAGCGTCCCAGAAAGGACCAGGCCCAACCGGGCTGGCACCGTAAAGCCGATTTTTCTCAGACAAGAGGCCGGCACCAATGAGCAACCGCTCGTGACAGGCAACAGCAAGCTCAACTCCAATGTGGTCTCCTTGCAGGACCGCTCGGAAGCAAGGCTGAACCAGCCGCGGCCAGGAAGGCAGAGGAGGTGGCTCAGCAGCAGAGAGACCAGCCGCCGGGAGATAAGAAGCCGAACACCTGGCGGACAATCTGTCGTAGGCGCGTGTGCCGCGGAAGAGCTCAGGAGGAAAAGAGGGATACAGCCTGTTCGTCACATTCCGAGCCCAAGGCGAGAGAATCTGATGATAAAAATCCCGCCTGTCAGACATGGACAAAAGCAAGGCCTCCTTCTTGGCATCGGCACTCAAAGCGCAAAGGCTCTCGCCAGACGGAAGCCATCGAGAAGGTCCGGGCAGCCGGGCTTCGGCAGCATTTTGGCCTCTCCGATCGCCGATCTGGCGATCGACTGCAACACTCTTGTATGCATTGAAAATGCGGGTGAACTCGTAAGGTGGGAGCTCCTCGGAGGGCTCAAGGTGCAGCAGGTCCAAAGAGGACCACTTAAGCGCAAGGCTCAGGGTCTCGGAAGTGGACTCACGATCAGCCCGAGGGTACTCCTCATCCTGAGGAGTGCGGCCGCACAACAACGAAGAAGGCAGAGCGTAAGCCATGGCAAGGTCGGGAGGGAAAAGGCCAGCAGGGTCCCAATTGGCACGACCTGAAAGCCGCAGGCGCTCTGCACACAGTGACCGGTAGGGCTCAAGGTCCGGAGTGTCGTTGCAGGTCGGGACCTCGAGACCGGCAGGCACATGAGAATAAGGATCACCGAGTGGACCCAAAAGCGTAAGCCTCTGAGAGACCTCGCTGAGACGAGCAATCAATGAATTCATGCGGCGGCCCGTCTCGGAAGGGAAGATCCCATCCTTGACGTCACCGAAGGTCTGAACGATACCCCTCAGGTAGCGGAGGCAGCGGGCCTGGGCAGAGTTGGGAGGCCGAGCAAGAAGCCGGAGCGGCACGTAAGCACAGTCATTGTAAACAAAGTTGAGTGCAACCACAACGGCATGAAGTGCAACCTGGCAAGCTGCTCGCTGTCTACGACGCTGGCCTGAATGCCCGAGGGGCCTAAAAGCACCCGGGCAGGGGACCGGCAAAGGCAAAAAGACCGAATCTGGGGCCGGCTGGCCGCACCAGTTCAGATGCAGAGTTGCCCACCGTCTAAAGGACAGGGCGGCAGAAGGAGAGAAGGCATTGGCTTGCAAAGGCTGCCCGGGCCCAGCACCGACAGAGCCCGAAGCCGACGAAGCGGCGGAAGAGGGGTCGGGAGAGTCCAGGCAGGGACCCGATGGGGAAACATGCAAGTTCAAAGGGCAAGACACATCCGCCGGGGTTCGTGGTGCAAGAGGCGTGGGCTCGAGGCCAGGAGGCAGAGTATTAGCAGCAGTCGTTGCTGGGCTTCCTGCTTCGGCTTGCGGGGGAAGCGAGGCCGGCGCTTGGGAGCGGGAGCGCCATCGTCTGCAGGTTCCTGAGTGGGCCCAAGTGGGGCGACAGTGTCCCGACGACGCTGAGCCATGGCATCTATCTCTCGAACGTAGCTTAGGGCGGTGGAAGCCCAGGCAGGGGAAACGAGAGGTGTGAAAACTCTGAGTCGGCTTGCAGATCCCTGGGCCCTGGAGGCATAAACCTGAGGAGCCGGATCGTCGAGCAAACACAGCAAGTAGGCCAGGGTCCAGTTGCGGTCCTGTGCCGCCTGCTCCGTAGATGCCAAAGGCAACGCCAAATGCTCGCGAGCACCATGCACGTCGTCCTGAAGGAAGCAGTCCGAGACGAAAGAGAGCTGATGCATGACCAACGCCAGGTCGCGACTCTGGCCGTAGCCGCCAAACCGCTCCATGTAGGTCACGAAACTCAGGCGACCATTCTGGCACACCTGCAGAAAGAACGTGCTGCTCCGCTGCGCCAGTTCTTGCTGTAAACGCTCCCTCTTTGCCGACCCCTTGGAGCTCAAGCCGGCCGTCGCCGTCGACAGGTCCAGAGCATCGCCTTGCGAGGCCAGGTGGGACACGAGCAGCGTTAAGGCTTGGCCCTGCTGAGCTATCGCCGTGGCCAACGAATCCGAGGAGGAAGGCAAGGCAGATGACTTTGGGGCCGCAGCCGGCGGCGGCGCTGCTGGAGCAGGGGCTATCTTGGGAGTGGCACCCAGGCGGGCCGGGGCAGGCAAAGCAGCTGCTAAGGAAGCCAAGGGCTGCGGCCCGGAAGGGTCGGTCGGACCGACAGCAGGAAAATCCTTCTGATGAGCCGGGGTTGGCTGAGCAGGAGGAGGCGCTGAAGCCTGAGCCTGTCTCTCCGAAACCACACGCACTTGAGGCTTTGCTTTTGCAGCCCTCTTCCCCTCAGGTCCTGGATCCTCCGGAGCATCTGAGTCCTCCTGTGCCGTAACATAAGCCAAGCCCGGCCCGTGGTCGCCACCAACCCAAGCAATGGCCGACCTCATGAGAGCCTCTGGGCTGGGCATAACATGTGGGGCGTCTGGCTCGAAACCCGTAGCTCGGTGACGGGATCGAACGGGCTCATATGCTGTAAGGCAAGGTCCTCCAGGTCCAGGAGGAGCACAGACACGTCGAAACCGGCCAGCACATCCTCCCCGCTCTCGGCTTCTTCCACGGCAGGCACGGAAACTAAACCCGAAGGGCCTATAACCGAAGAACCCGAACCCGAGGCTAGGAGGGCCACATCCTCCTGAAGCGCAGCAGGCAAAGCGACAAGGAAGGCCCCAGGCCGGTGAAGCAGAGGCGAGGCCAGGTACTTCGTCCGGGCCTCGGCATCGGTAAGAGGGGGCCAGTTGATGATGCAGATCGTCCCCGCAGTCTGGCCATCGAACTCAAAGCTTCTTTGTTCATTGTGCCGGCGGGAAGGCAACCTCCGCAGCGATGCAATAAACCCGGGCCTCAGCAAGGGAGGGAAAGCTTTGACAGATGGTGTCGGTGTTCTCCAAAGGCCCCACGGCAGCTCGGAGAGAGCGGAAGCTGGAAAAGCGGGCGGTGCCAGAGAGGCGCTCACTGCGAAGCACAATGTACACAGCAGGGCGCAGGCCAATGACAGGAGCCGGATCCGGAGTGGCCACCGTTCCAGCCAGCACTTCCTTTGCCCAAAGCCCGGCAACCCAAGCACGCCGCGCACGGTCAGCAGCGGTGAGGCTGCCAACAGGAGCCAAGCGTTCACAGAGCTCAAGACAATGAGCAGGGCAGGCGGGAAAGCAGCTCTAATGGCAGAGCGGCGCAGAGGACTAGGGAGACCAGTACCACCAACCCTAGGGGGATGGGCCTGGGATGAGGATGAACCACTAGGGGGAGGATTAGGGTCACTAACCACCACCCAAGGTGACTCAGACCTGGCGCCTGATTCTGCACGGAAATGCGGAGCCGCTCAAGGGCCCCCTGAACCTCAGCAATGGTCTGGGCCAGGTCAGGATCGCCCATGCACAGCGTATGCCCGAAGTCGCAGATCAGCTGGCTGCCTGAGAACCGGAGAGGGCTCAGGAGCAGCAGGCACAAGTGGGACAGGTCGCAGCAGGAAGCCACGGACCAAGAAGAGGGTCACCAGAGACCCGGAGCAAAAGCCCCCAAAGAAAAGGGCGACGCTGAAGGAAAGGGAGCCGGCACAGTGACCGGGGCAACTTAACCCAAACCAACCTGAAGCGGAACCCTGGAGAAGGAGTGACAGGAGACCTGACGCTACTTCACCTAAAGGCATTCGAGCGAAAACTTAAGATGCGAGGGTTCAGCGCTCAACTCTAATTTGCAGAGACCAACAACTCTTCAAGAATGTACATGCACTGAGTTGCACTGACAGCTCACACATGAAGCAGCACATGACTCACAGACGCTCCTGCATGAACATGACATGTTGCACTTGACCTAAAACCGCGTACTCCTTACGGAGCCAGGCGTCAAGAAGGCTTTGTGCTCAATCATGGAACGAAAAGGAGGATGTGAAAGCCAGGCGTTCAAGAAGGCTTTGTGCTCAATCATGGAACGAAAAGGAGGATGTGAATCAATTTCCCTCAACCACCCAGTTTGCACAGAGTTCAGGAAGTTTCTAGGATTCGCGCTACGTTTCGTGAGACAGTCACACCAACAATGTTCGGTTCGAACGTGAGAAAAATCAGCGTTGGCTCCGGAGCAAGCTTCCTTTCGCAGCGTTTGAATCATGTGAATGGTTTCCCGTTGTTCGGGTGAGTGAGTACTGGAAGCAGTAGACACGAGATTGTTAGCGTCTTAGCATCAAGACCGCTAATATCCTTCCACAAACCACGAAGCATTTGACAGGTACCAAAATACTTCATCAAGGCATACAACTCCGCGACGGTAGTGCTACGGGTCGTTCTCTTGCTCTTAGTAGATTCGAAGAAGACCCATGAGCCTCGGGTGTCTCTTCGATTCTTGACCCTTTCATCCGCAATAAAGATAGTCATCGCTCTCTGCGAAGACCTGTCGCTGTTGTTACGAAAAGCTGCGTCAGGAATTCCAAGAATCCTCGGTGATCCCTTCACTGGCCACAACCGCAGCTCAACCTCTTCACTGCGGATCTGTCGACACAACTTGTTCAACTCCTTACAGTTGCCGACGGTCGGATGAGCAGATGCGGAAGCCAAGCGAGAAAATTGATAGCATGCCTGAAATTGCGTCCTCGATTGGAGCCAGTTGATGCTACCAAGCAGTGATCTATAAGAGCCGTGGCGAGTCTTATCACACGCATCAGCATCCTTAAGATGCTTCGGAATGACAATCTCCTCAAGCTCTGAAACACACAGCTTTTGATCGCTCGATATATACTTCTTCTTATCTTGTGCATCAAGGACCCAACGAACACGCTGTCCGGTGAACGTGAGGTCATTCTTGTCCTCGTGGGCCAACAGTGAAATGTTCCTTTTCTATTCTTAAGGAACCAAGTGAGGAACTCGGGGATTCCACCAAGCATAGTCAACCATCTTCTTGGTCTCGGTGTTGAAGCACTGAGCAATGTTGGGACATGAGAAATAGGATCTCTCCTCCGCATGGTCGGAGGAAACACTCGCACGCGTAGCATGACATGGCATGAAGGGCAAGCTCCTTCAGGTAAGCAGGTTCCACCTCAAGTGAGGTGCTTCCTGCTTCAGGTTCCTTCTCCTGAGAGAAGCTTCCTGTTGCAAGGTGGCTTTTACCCTTCTTGCCTTCGATGCCGTCGTATGCGACATAAGTGCATCGGTCAGCTCGAGTGGGTTCCATGCCAACAGACCAGAGGAATTTGCGCAATCGATTCCACCATCTCCTCGGTGCATCGTTCAGACCATAAACCAGTCGAAGGCGCAGACCGACCATCCAAGTTGGCAGGCCGACGTCAGGAGGCAACTGGACCACAACCATTCGAGATGACAGGTTGTAGTGTTGCCCTGACGGAAAGCAGTTTTAAGATCCAAATGAAAAAGGTCCCAGTAGTAATTGGCAGCGCACTGCGCAACCAAAGGGAAACCATACCGAGTAGCAGTGGGGCTGTCCGTTTGCTGGCCCCAGGCAAACTTGCCCTGAAAACCACGACAATCCCGACAGGCCTTGAAATTGGAAAAGTATGTAACCGTTCTTGTCAACCTTCACCGTAAGGACCCAACGTCCGGTAAGAAAATTGACATCGCGACCGAGTTTACGGCGGTCCGTGAGCCGGATAGCATCATTGTCCAAGTAACTCTTGAGCTCTTCAAGCTTAGCAGCGCGAGTTTCAGTGGCATATGTCCGCTGCATTTCCGGCGTGAAGGTACCAGCCTTGGTCTTGTCTTGCTTGGTCAACCACGACGCAAAACCATCACCGTCCAACGGAACAAAAGAAGGACCTTTGAAGTCCGACGGAAAGCGGGTCAAACTGTCTTCGTCGCCAATAGCCAAGGCAAGCAGACTCTCATCACGATAGTCAACAGTAGCATCAGAGTCCGTATCCTCGCCAGCCTCCGTCACCGGCTCCGGGGTGGGTTGCGGGAGTGGGGTTTGCTGAGTGGGAAACTCCCCCTCAGTCACCGGCAAACCAGATCAGAAGACGAAGACGCTGGTTCATTTGGAACCGGGAAGTCACCTGAAGAATCAGAATCCTTCTTCCCCGCAGACTGACCAGGCAACAATCGGAGGTCCCACAACAGCGCGCGACTTGGCCTTGGACTTATCGTCCGGGTGAACACCACGAGCACTCGTCTGAGACACATTGCGTGGCACCGGAAAGCGTGGATGCGGCGGAATCGGTACGAAACTGATCCGGGTTCGCAAACTGAGGCGGAGCCCCAGGAGCGTCAGGAAAACTTCCTGGAGGAGGTGACTCCTCATGATATTGCGTTGGAAAAGGTGGCTCTTGCGGTGAAGGCCCATAGCCAGGTGCCGGTCCCTGCGGACCGCCACCTGGCGGGGGTCCTCCACCGGATCATAAGGCATATCCGGTCCGAATCGTCATCTCCTCCTGGCACCAGTACTTGTGTACCGCCTGTGACGGAGGGTCACCGCCAACTTGAAGCTCAACAGGATCATCGTCCAGATCCTGCTCAGGCTGCTGTGGCGGCATATCCTCATCATCCACAGGCATATCGATGTGGACGTCGTACCCAGGATAGTCCACGTCATCATCAGAGGCCGGGGGTTGCGGTGCAACCGGAGCAGGTGCTGGCTGGTCCGTGAGATCCAGACCAACATCAGGCCCTCTTCTAGATCCAACTCCTCGAGTTTCATTCCAGAAAACTATCATGGACCATTGCGTAGACTGCATATCTTGAAGACAAGCTAGGAAGCAACTGCGCCATCGTCAAGAACACATGATGCACGTCACCCTTCTGCCACAGAATTACAACAGCATCAGGATGTCGATGAACCAGAGGAAGTGTTTTTCCTTGAGTCCCCCTGTAACCATTGCAGTACTCAAACTCCAGGCAAGGAAGAGTCAACACCCGCACATTCTTAATCATGGGTCGCAGAGCGACTGCATCAGCCGATGTGGTGGTGTGAACTTCCAACTCAGTATACCCGGAAGAAGACTGTCAACGTAAGACAGGGTTTGAACCAACGACGATGTCACAAACCGTTGTGGAGCGACAAACCGCAGAGGTGACGGAAGCTTCCCTTTCGAAATGTTGGAGAGCAAGGAATACTCTTCATCTGAGGGAAGAACCAGCAACGCCTCTGAGTTTCTGTCTGATCGCAAGCACAACGCCACAAAGCGCGCAATGTTCCATCATCAAAGTCCTCAAAAATTATCTTCGAACAAGTATGATTGTCTGAGATCTGAACGATCATCACCAACAAGGCACTGCGATAGCAAAACAGCAAACCTAGGATCAAGCGTGTTTGCAGAGTCATAGCCGTCTTCGAGTGACTCCAAACGATCAAAAGACCCATCAAGCATGTTAGTGAGAAGAGAAATCTCACCATGCTGACGCTCACCGCGGCTCTTGAAAGTTATGAATGAAAGTCCATTTCTCCACTTCAGCGAGCGACTGCTCTGGGAGAGCCAAAACCTAGAACGTGCAGGATACACAATGGTGATAAAGTATCCTTCCCCCTTGTCGTCTTGCCAGCGGCAGACCTCTGCACAGAAGTGCCTGAAGGCAGTAACAGCCTTCCTTGGCCACTCTACTGGAACGACAGGGTGAATGAAAATGTGATGAGGCTCTGCCTTCAAGATCACTTGCCAAGTGGCCTCAATTGAGGATTGAGCCGTTTTGGCACTCCATTCACCAAACGACACAGGCTCACCCGCCTCAAGACCAGAATGAACGGTGGTAAGGCGGGGTGTAATCTGAACGAAATCGCTCTGTCCTGAAGTGCGAGCGTGGTAACAGATCTCATGCTCATAGCAGTATCCAGAACCTGCACGTTCAAGAATGCCATCGCCGATGCGGTCAAGTGCCTCCTCCTGAGAGGAGCGTCTTGGACCGTCGTCACGTACCTCTTCAGTTGAAGAGCCTCGTGAATCATCAGGCTTCAGAGGAATAGCCACATCGTGCCATGGGTCTCCATCGTGTCTAACCTTCGATTGATTGACTCGAAGAACAGCACGATGGACCTCAACCAACACCATGGCTCCTTCTTGTGACACAACTACACCTCTGACCCAGGTTCCTTCAGACTTCTTCTTCGACTCATCTTTATGCCAAACAAACACACGATCTCCCTTCTGATACGGACCGTCAGACGGCATAACTCGCCGTGCCAAGTCCTTGCGAAGATCAAGTGACTGCCGGGCCTCTTCATGAGCTCGCATGGCAATTCTCTGGAGATCCAGAGAGGTTCGGTCCTTTTCCGCAGGATCGGCAGAGCATTGTTCCGGAGTACTGTTCCCCACGTCAAACAAGTCAGGCGGTCGTCTCCCGGTGGCTATCTCCAAAGGAGAGTAACCTGAGACGGTCAGTTGGCAATTTCTTGCCCACGCCGCCTTCTTGATTGCCTGACGAGCAGTCACCTTCTCTGCA